CAGAGAGAAAATGATAAAGGGCCAAATTACTAACTTGCTTTCTGATATCCCACAGAAAATTGTACATGCAATCAAGCTACCATTCTGCTGGCTTGCTTGCACTAATGGCTATTTGAGTGCCCATGTTTTGTTACTCTGAATTAAAGATCGAAAGGAAGGTAATTTTAGGTGGCAAAAAAGGAGGTCTCTCAAAAAAAACTAGCTCTATGAATTAGATTTTCAGTACCTGCTTTTGGAGTGGTATGCATTAACTAGAGCTCTGCATGGATTTACCATGATTGTCTGTGTAAATTGCTAGCAATGCCTAAGAAGCTATTGGCTGCCCAGTTATGGGATTGAAGATATATTACATGTTAGTGCAGCAGGTACATTGCTGTTTGAGATTGCTAGATATTATGAAAATTTGGCCTTCTATGGTTAGGAACATTACATGTTGCTATTCAGCACTTTGTTGGTGCTGAGAGACATTATTACCAAAAACTGCTGAAGATGTGTGATGAGTTCCCCACATCCTTTCCCCCTCTCTTCACTGCGCCCACCAGATACAGGGTGAGACCAGAATCTGGGTGCTGCTGATGCTCTACCTTCACCTGCAGTTAATGGCCATCTCCCAATGATGGGCAAATGCCACATCCCGGTGGCTTTGAAGGTGTTGATCATTTAACTTATGTGCATTTTCCAGCAGGGATCTATACAAAGTAGTGTTTGTTTTGGATGCCTCAAAAGTCCCTTGAGCCATCCAACAGCCACCTCCCTGCTCTCCTCTGGACAGCCTAAAACACAAGTGAACATATACCCAACAAGCAACTAGATCTCTTTGCAGTTATAACAGAAGCAGCAAATTTCCGCAATGGCAGAAGAGAAAAATGTAGCAACCTTACTTCCACGTCTACACTGAAACAGGAATCAGACTATAATGAGACCTTGCATTTTGCTTCCTTTTATGCAGAGAGAGGATTTCAGTGTGCTGTTTAATGCTATTATTTTTTCCACACAAATTACAAGAATTTAATATATGGAGATGAGTTACATGTTTGGAGTAGGCAGCTTATGAAAGCCCAGTTTTAAAATAAATGAAATGAGAAATAAGCTCCCAAAGTGTCACAACTGCCTGTTACTGGCATTTTCACAGATGCTATTTAAAGCCATGCATCCCCTAAGATTAGTAAAGCAAAGCACACATATCTTCAGACCTAAGTTAAGTTCTTGAAGAGAATGCCTTACCTCATCTATGAGTGGATCCAGTCTTTCATATTCTGGAAAACAAATCAGTTTATGTGAGTATCATTCTGCTGGTGTTTGAGTAAAACATCTGATCTTCCTTTCTTCTGAAAGATTTTTTCTTTATGTTGTCTAGCTCTGCTTTCATCCTCAAGAGATACCATGTTGCGTGAGGCAACTGTCTCTTATACCCACAACTGCATAAATGTAAAGGAAATTATAAAAATTGCATAAATGTAAAGCTAATATAAACTTTGTGTATCTTAACTCCATGCAGTGAAAGCATTTCTGTGCCTTCATGTCATAGTATGAAGGATATGGAGGATTTATCCTGTGAAATGGAGAGAGAGGAAAACCTGTGCACATCCATGCTGTTAGGAAGAAAAGCAAATTCTGCCTTATAGTTTGGAAATAATGGCATTTTTCAACCTGACAAAGGATCCTAAATGGCACAATGCTATTAATATATTGTAACATTCCAGCAAGATCTTTTTTTCTCTGTGGTGCAAAATAATGCATATATTTATGTCTCATGTATACTAGAGATCCCTCACTGCAAATTTCAGATTGAATCCCTGCAAAAAAACAGGTAGGAAAATATCTAATTCTATTGAAATCAGTTTTGTAGGAGGAAAAAACCCAAATAAACCAGTAGACATAGGCAAAAACTGTCTTGTGACAAATTTGAAGCCTGCTCTATGTTTTGACTGACCTTGTCTTGCACAGCTTAGGAGACTCCTTCCCCAGTCACTCCTTAGTGACTGAGTATTTGAATTGCAGCTCTAATAGCAGATGGAGCATGTTGTCTGCAGGTATCACAAAAGCAGTCTCCACATTGGGGTGCAGGCCATAACATATGGCACTTTGGGGAGGCAGTATTTTATCCATATTTTTATGGTAGCCTTTATAATCCAGGTTTGAAGAGACTGCAAACCCTGAAGCAAGCACTGACTTCCTATCAAACTGTCAAAAAAATAATAAAAACCTTGTCACTAAGACACTGCTGGCAATCCTCACTAGACAGAATAAGGAACCTGCTTAGGCATAAATGAAATAGTTCTATTATGGAGCCATTGTTGAGAACGAGACTTTTATATCACTATTATATCTGTGGAAATTAATCTAATTTGTTCCCCATTTTAATTAGCCCCATTAAGTCACACCCAAATTCCGATGCTTGCAAGAAAAAAAGAGGAATTTTTAAATAATCAGATTATCCTTCTGAAAGAAAACAGTTGAAAGATAATTTTAATTTAAAAATAAAAAGACAAGAATATTTTTAAAAGAAAAATGTTATTTCTTCCAAATTATGAATTGCTGCTCTCTGGTGTAACATTATTATTCTGTGTAGCAACTTATTAAATGAAGCAATTTATGGTAGCATCTCTGAAAAATGCCATCCTTTATTGAAATGAAAGTAATAGCATAAGGACTGTAAAATAAAAAGGCAGAATATCTTCTTTTAGACATTACAAAAATACATGTATTGTCTATTTGAAAATCAATACAGTCTCATAAAATAAAATGGAGCTGTGGTATCATCATCATAATTTCTATTTCAAATGGTTTGCTGAGAGCCAAATTGTATCTTTTATGGAAAAAGAATGACAAATGGTTTAATTCAATATCACACGCATGTGTATATATGAGCTGAAATTCTGCTACAACTCAAAGCTGTTAGGCAAATATTTTAGTATCACCACAAGTTTAAAAACAACAGACATGTGGGAGTGCATCCATTTATTTACACTTGTACTGACTTAAAATTCAAAATGCTATTTGAAGCTTTTAAAGTACTGCTGTGGGATGTTAAATTACTGCTGAATTCTTACTGTTCTGAGATACCTTTCAACCTGCCAAGATGCATGATGATGATAATAATAATAATAACAGCAGTAGTGTGGGGATCTTTAAAATCATGTGGGGCTTATTTCTGTAAGATAAATACCATTTTCACTAACCCCTGTTTTATGATTCAGCATTTCTAATACAATAAAGTGAAATAATGAAAGTAAAACAACAACAGGTTTGTGTGGGCTGGGAAAGGGAAAACGAGCACGTGCATTGTCAGAATTTCTGCAGAAATTGCAGGGGGAAAGAAAACCTCATGTAAGTGGCGCTTCCCTCTGTTCCCCACGGGGAAAATTCCTCCTCTTGTTTTTAGTGTTCGCTACATTTCCTTCTTTTATTCTTTTTTCTGATCTCGTCCTTTTGTTCCCCTTGTCTCCTCGGATGCCCGTCCTTCGCGCCGCAGCGGGAGCTCCCGGAGCGGGGCCGGAGCGCGGCGGGCGCTGCAGGTGAGCGGGCGGCGGGGGCGGCGGGAGCCCGGGCTGGGGCCGCGGCCGTGCGGGCCCGGAGCGCTCCTGCCGCCCTGCCCTCCCTGCCTGCCGGCCCTGCCTCCCTCCAGGGACAGCAGCGCGGCTGTGAAGCCCCCGCCGGTGGCGCTCGGAGCTTTCTGCCTTGCTCAGGGCTGCGGGGGAGGAGGAGGAGGTGAGATGGCAAACGTGCTCGCAGGTGAGGACGACGGCTGTGACCGCCCGTCTCCGCCGCGCTCGGCTTGCACGGGTTGGGAAGGAGCTTTTTGCTACCTGCTCCCATCACCATCTGACAAATGCCGGGTTCAGCGAGGAGCCCTCGGCCCCTCAGCCATGGCCGCTGCCACAGGCAGAGAGATAATCACCAAATGCCCCACAGATGTGGGAGAGGACTTTTCCGCCTCTCTGTCGCTGAAGTAGTTTGTGGCACCTGGACCATTGGTCATTATCGCCGCTCGGCCGCAGCAGCGCGGGCACGGCGCTACAAGAAATCTTTGCATTGCTACAGGATCAGAGGTCACCGCTGCAGGGGACCAGGGCTGGTTTATTAAACAGCCAAGTCTGTTTAAGGTGTAATTCCTCAGGAAGAGCAGTGTGCTTGTGGCCATTTTAAACGGGTTAACGGAGCGGGTCCGTTCAAGCCCGCGTGCGCTTTTCCCCGGGCACAAACCCCAGCTCGGGCTGGCGCCCGGGGTTGCTGTCGGCCGAGTCGCCTCAGCCCCGCAGGTCTGTGACCTCCGGCTCCTGCCTATGTCATATTCCTGTCCTCCGGCTGGAAACTGCAGAGGAAAGTGCAGGATGCAGCTGACACCGCTCCGGCCGCGCTGGTAATGACCGGGCTGACACAGGCGCCCGGACGGGAGGCTCCGGGTGGGGGGCGGGTTACACACTCTGCCGCTACCACCAGGTGTCTGGCTGTTGGCAGCGGCTGCTGGGAGTGCGGCCCTGCGTGGCGAGTCCCGTATGGCCCCACTCCAGCGTCCCCACGAGCGTCTGCGAGAGGGAAAGCTCCCCTGGAGGCCGAGGCCGCCGTCCCTGCCCCGCAGCGCTGCCCGGGGTCAAAGGCGCTCCCCGCGGGACTCCCCCGGCGGGTCCGGGCCCGGCCGAGCCCCCCCGAGCCCGCCCGCGCCTCGGCCCGGCCCGCGGGCAGCCGCCGGCAGGGGGCGCTCTGGCTCCGGGAACGCGCCGCCGCTGCCCGGCCCAGGCGGCCACGGGCAGGGGGAGGGCGAGCCGGGGCACGGGCGCTGCCCCGGGCGCCTGGCAGGTACCGCGGGGCCGGGCTGCCGCCGGGCAGCGAGCCGCTGACGGGCTCCCGGCAGAGCCGCCGGCCCGGGAGGTGCGGCCCGGCCCGGCCCGGCACCCCGAGCGCAGCTGGGCGGGCGCGGGGAAGGCGGCGCCGCGGGGATGGAGGGGCCGGGGCCGCAGCGGGCCCGGCGCAGCCACGGCCCCGGCAGAAGTTGGTGCCGAACGGGCTGAGGCTGTGCCTGCAGCCACGGGTTTCTTTGTGCGTCTGTCTGTCAGCACTTTGGGTGACATTCCCTTCGCCGCGCGGGTGGCTGGCGATTTTTCTCTTTTTTACTGCTGGAAGAGGTTATTCTATGCAAGAGAAAAAGCAGAAAAGCCTTTGTAATTTTCACAGAGGTTTTGTGGAATATAGTGCCGAAAAAGCAATTTGGGTTTTTGTTTGGTTTTTGTTTTGTAATTGCAGAGTTTTTTTAGCATTCGGGTGGATGCTGGATGCTCTTTCTTTAGTACAGATTTATGTCCTAAAGAGATACTTGATTTCTTTGACCATATCTGTGATCATAGCTTACAACTACTACCTATACACACCTGTGTAAGTATGTTTTAAGAGTCAGTAAGAAAAATTGTTTTCATTAAAGGCCTTCCAAAACAAAAATTGAAAAGGACAGAGGAAAATATGATAACCTAGCAGCTGAGCCATGCTTGCCTCTAATGTAGGACCCAAATATTTTTGACCAAACACATAGGAATATAAATTGGTGTAGTGAATCTCACTGATTTACCTCAGCTGAAGACCTAATTCTAGTGCACTGCATGCTCAGAATATGTAAAAGATATTCCAGAGACACAAACCCACATGGTTGTGCATCTCAAGATAAACCAAACTAAGCTAAATGAAACCAAAATAAATTCTTGTTCTGTACTGCAGTAATTACCTGTAGTGACTGCAAATTCTTCATTTCCCATGCAGACAGACAGGTACTTGGTTAGAAACTGTATGTGATGCTTTAAGATTGAAAGAAGTAGTTTCTTGTTTGATTTTTTTTTTCTTTTTTGGTGATAGATGTGCAGTCGCTCTATGATATGTGAACAAATCTTTAAGAAATTAAATTAATTCTGCTTTGCTATTGCATATCCTGTAAAGGCTTTTAGTGACTTCAAGTGGCTTTACAATGAGAAGTTCAATACTCACATTTTTAAAGTTTTATTTCTGTGGTGGTTTGCTTGCCTGGTCAAATTTATCCAGTGCAGCATGGATATTACAGGTAGTGGCTTATCAGTTATTTTAATGGGAGATTTCCTAAATCCACTCTGGAATGAGATGTGCTGTAGGGAAAGGAGCAGGTTCCCCACACTCAAATCGCCCTGCTGACTTCCTTCCCTGGTTTTCTTCAGTAATTTCTCTAATGTGTCCAACCACTTTACTACAAAATAAATATTCAGAGATAAGGAGGGAGAGGGGGGAGAAGGGAGGAAAAAATAGGCCTCCCAGTGAGCTATTGATTTGAAATTTCAAACATTTTATTGATACAAGAAAAACCCAGACATAAGGAAGCAGTTTGATATTGCACAATATTTGAAAAAAAATGTGTGCATCTGTTTAGCACAATACACTGCATAATGACAGCAATCTTCCCTGTTTGTATCTATTCATCTGATTATACAGCATAACAATTCTTTTTGCTACACATTTATTTACTAAAGGATTTTTTTTAATGGATAATAAATTAGTAAATCAGATATCATGTGCTTGGGAAAATATGTGAGTTGACTCCCTACATGCAAGATAGTTGCAATTCATATTTTATGTGCTATTCAGCGATCTCACATACAGAGATGAAGTTGTGTGCTTCCCTTGTGGCAAAGACAAAGGAAGTTTTAAATCACTATTTAGTACTCTTTCATCTAGGCACATGTTATTTTGAAACGCTTCAGTTTTTAGCACCGCAGTGCAGCACTGATGTAATGAAGAGCTTTGACTTACTTGAAGTATAACCCAGTGGCCTTCTTTTGATGCCTTTTCCACAGCTATTTCTGCTGCAGCTTCCTGTCCTTGACCCAGCGATACATTGTGAAGTTCTCCTGAGTCAATGGTAAATTCAAACTTGTTCCCTAAACAGAACAATATACTGTACTACTTTGAGCCAAATAATGAAGTGTTCAAACAAGCATGTGTTCTACACATAGTGTTAACATGGCACCACCTCACATGAGTCACCAAAGGAAAAAAACAGCCCTCAAAAATACAATTTCAATCAATCAGCTGAACTAGGATATTGTGCTGTTTTCTGGTTAGGTACTCTGTATTAGCAAAATGCTCCTGTGTCTGAAAAGCATCCCAGAATGAAACAATTGATTCCTGCTGATGGCTTCCCTACATATTGCCTATATGAATATTTCAATGCACACTGAAGTGGATATGTTAGAAATTTAGCTAAAGAAAAAAATATAAGTTAATGTCTCACTGAAGGTGATGTTATACACAGGCAATGGAAGAGGTTTAACAGAAGTCTTTATGCTGGTATTAGGAAGTAGTTCGGTCAGAGGAGGGTTAGCAAATTTTCAGTAGGGTCAAATCTGTTGCTCAAGTATACTTGTGTAAGGTTGATGACTTGTGCAGATACAGCAGAGCAAGCAGCTAGCTCTGATTTCAGAAAGCAGGGAGTGTTCCCCAGGCAGCTGCTGAGCCAAGCCCTGAGACTTTCCTCAGACACTGAGTGCTGGAGGTGTAATGCCATCCGTGTGTTACCGTGTGACAGCGCTCAGCAGTCGTGGAAAGGCCTGCTTTATTTCTCTGGTTGTGGTAGAATTTCTAGGACCAGTGGTATTGCTAACTAACTTGCAGAAAGTTCTCTTATTTCATGGTAAGTGTTATGTTTTCTCATGGTTTTTAGTAATAGTATTTAGTCCAGACTGATCTAATAGTTCAGGATTGATAAGGGGAACAGTCCAGGAGATAACCACTACTGGGGAACAGCACTGCCTTCTTTGGAAGTTTTTGTGAACACTGAGCACGTTTAGTTCCAAGTTACATTTGGGCTAAGTTCCCATAAATGAAGAATTACAGTTGACAGAACCTCGTGAAAAACAGCAAGGTGTAAGACCTGTCTGTGGGGCATAGTATTTTGTCATGACTTCTATTTGGTAGAGATCCAAATGCAAAACATGTTAGGGTCACTCACAGTACAAAATCAAAGGTCTGAGACTGGTGATGCAAACTGACAGCACAAGTCATCCTGGGCATTCTGCTGCCTCACATAAATAGTAGGTTAAGGAGAGAACTTGTCACTTCTAATGCCTTTAGAAATTTCTCCTTTCTGGACATTTCAAATCCATTTCTTTTGCTTGTTCTATCCAGGAACCTTCAGTATCTCTCTTCAAGTATCATAATTTATTTAACATTGTCCACAATTGAAAAAATAATATGTGGAGCCTGTACATTTGAGCACAAGCATGTGGATTTTAAAAATAAATGTAACTGAAGTTTTTTTATTTTTAAAAATAAATATAAATTTAAAAATGTAAAAATATAGGGTCATTATTGTAGACACTCTGTACCCTGATTTCTCTTCACGGAGAGTTAAAGTCAAGTAAATGTCGAAACAGTGGTCTAAGTTCAGAATGTTCACAAAGCATGAGTTTGTTTTTCAGTAACTAAAAGCTTTAGAACAGAACAGCTGTGAAATTAATAGAACTTATTTGTAATATTTATCAGTGTTTATTTTCTCAAAAGCTTTGGGGTTTATTTGTGGCCAGCTTCCTCTTCAAAAACATTTTAAAATCTTTTAAAACGATTCTGGATAGAGTAAGCTTAAATCATACACATATAGAAACATTCCTTAGAGTATATGAATATGTTTACAGATGATGGTTAAGTGTGTCAATTTATAAGACCAGCTAAGCCTTCACCAAAGTATGGACAAAATTCTAAACATAAAGAAATTTTTTTCTGAAATTTCTGCCTTAACAAATTAATGTGGATTTTTGTGTGTAAGACTTTTAGTATGTCAGCAAGGCTAGAAACACTGAATTGTTCTGAGAAAGAGTATTAATACAATGTTCCAAGGTCAGTTGAACTCAGATCTCTCTAGAAGAGGAACAGTTTTTATTAAGAAATTGCCAGATCAAAGTTATATGCTAAAATGCTTAAAATTTTAAAAGTCTGTACAAGACCTAAATTTTCCACCGTTGTAAGAAACAACAAGAGAGCTCCACACCATTATTTATTGTGTTGTACAGGGATGTGCGGGGTTCTGTTGCTTGGTATTTAATCCAGAGGTGCATTCAGCTATGTATTAGTAGCGAGCTCTGAGCCATTAGAGCAGCAAAGGATAGGACAGAAATAAACTGTTGGCTGCAATTGCCCCTTTGAAAAAGAACAGGAATTTTGAGAGGGGAGAGAGGGAGATTCCTTGGCCTCGGTGGAGTTTATTATTCTCTGGAAACAGGTAAACCAACCCTGGCTCAGGAAGATACTTTAGAATAGGAAATGTTTTGCCTTTGAAATGTACCAGATTACATGTCATTTCAAATAGTGTTCATGGCAAAGATACCCCTGGGACCACCTTACAAGAGCTTTATTTCTTGCCTGCAAATTAGTCAATTCAAAACACTTCTCCTCTCATCTCTGCCTTCAGCTCTTAATACCACACACGCCATTCGTAAAATAGCGGAGAAGAATGAAAAGACCCTGGATACAATGGTACAATTAAAAAAATAAAACAAAAGACTGTAAAAGCAAGAACAAGATGGGTTTCAGCAGACAAGGGGAAAAATGAAATTTTGGTGCGTTTTTGGAGGCATTTCAATAAACCCCTTTTCTTCCGTTTCAGCAGGGGCTCATTGAAACAGCTATGTTTTCCAAGTGCAGGCAGACAGCCAATAGCATCTAAATTATTTTTAAGAAAGCACTTATAGCACTAAGCACTCACTACTACTAAATCCATCTTAGAGGAGAAGGGTGGAGTAAGAAGAAAGGTCAACAAATGTATCAAGTTCTTTGTGTAATGCCTCACTGACATTTTCCAACTCCCTCAGCTGGCTTTTATTTTTTTATTTTTTATTTTTCAGAATCCTGGTAAAATGCAGTAAAGGATTTAAGGTTATCGTCTGTCTCTCTCTAACTTCTGACATCTCTTTATAACAAGAAAGAGTCACAGCCAACTGTAACAGGAGGGCAACACAATGAATCCTGGTAAGACAGGGAAGGGGGGAGGTTCAACTTTGCTGCCCCTTTGCCCCTATTTCTTCCTCACAGAACAGAAGTGCCATCTGTTACTGGTCCTAACATGCATACATTTAATTTCCATTTGGTAATAACTATCACAGGAAAAAGATTATCAAGTGATCTAAAGCACTATCAGCATTAGCACATCTTCCCATCCAGTGTTTTGTTTGTACCTCCAAAGATGTAGCAGATGAAATGGATATGGGCAAGTGTCTTAATTGCCTAGAATTATTTTGTTTTCTTGTAGAGGACCATATGGTCAAGGTGTGGATTATGACCAGACTGAGGATATGTGCTTAGGTCAGAAGACGATTTAGAAAAATCAAACAAGAGGACTGATATTTATATTCTTCAATGTGAACACACTACTAAATACTAATAAGTATTTATTACTTGGTGTTGTAATACATCATCATAATAATGGAAAATAAAATCATAGCATGTTATGTGAGGGTAGACGGTAGTAAAGTATAAGACTGTTTTAAAGCAATCTGTAAAAATGTTTCTTAGGCTTCAGTCAAATTTATCACATTCACAAATAAAAATCCTGATACCACCAAACATCTTACAGCCCAGCAAACTCAGTTTAAGAATGTGCTAGTTTTGACTGGGATAGATTTTCTGGGTTAATTTTCTTCATAGCAGCTGGTGTGGGGCTGTGTTGTTGATTCGTGCTGGAAACAGTGTTGATAATTCGGAGATGTTTTAATTATTGCTGAGCAGTGTTCACACTGAGTCAAGGCCTTTTCTGCTCCTCACACCATTCCACCAGCGATGGGGCTGAAGGTGCACAAAAAGTTGAGAAGACAACAGCTGGGGCAGTTGACCCCAAGTGACCAAAGGGATATTCCCTGCCATATGGCATCATGCTCTCTGTATAAAATAGAAATGGAAGTTGGCTGGGGGCTGCAGCTCAAGGACTGACTGGGCATTGCTTTGGTGGTGATGAGCAATTGTTTTTACTGGCATCACTTTTTCTTGGGTATCATTTCTCTCTTTTTTGGTATTATTATGGATCCTTCAGCTATGCCCAGTTTTGCCTGACATCTTATTGTTGAAAGAAATGGGGTGCAGCAGCAGATCTGTGCAAAGGAAGGGTGCCTGCAGTGTGCTGTTTGCAAAGCAGGGTAACAAACAATTGGTGCAGTGGGATTTCTCTGTCAGAGCCCTTCAGGTATTTCACTGCTCTTTCCTCTTGCTGTCTATACCCTATTGTTTTAGCAGTCTCTCATTTCTTCAGCCTCACATCTTTTCCCTCTTTGCTCTTGCTGCCTGTACACCTTGTTACTTAAAACACTTCTATGACCAGAAATTGGCTGCCCTGTCAGATGCCAGCTTTCTTCCCAAAGGCTGGAGAATGACCTCAAACATGGGAGATGCATGGCTAATGCCGTTAAAATGTAAATAAACATGTAAAATGGTTCAAGAGGAAAAAGCCAAGAAAATTATTAGCAAGTAGCTTGTGCTTTAGACTAGCTTAATTTGCTCAAGTCAAATCTGAAGCTGATCTGTCTGGCAAACCTACTGATGCCTACATTGTCAAAATACATGAGACAACATTTCATTTCTCCAAATTTCCATTAATTTCATTGCCTTATTTTCTTTCTTTTCCTCCTACACGGGGATGACATTTTTGAAGTGTACTTTTAAGAACATAATTTGATCAAATGATCCAAGGGAACTCCCTATAGATATCCATGATTTAATGCTAAATGTGCTCTAAAGGTTAGCATGGCTGACAATGGCAACTGGTTTAACCCCAGTTAATTTTTAAATAATTAATAGAGTGTGTTTTTTTCTGAGCAGAACCGTATCTTGCTTACATAATTCAGTGAGAAAGGCAGGGCCCTGCCATGTGGTGGTGAGCATTCTGAGCATCCCAGCCTTGACCAGAGCAGATCTTTGTCACCTTGCTGAAGTCGGTCATTGCACATGTCCTCGTGCAAGATGCTTGTAGCTGACCTCCAGATAACCTTGAAGATACTGGCCAACAATTCGCTGGCTGGCTGATTTATGTTTCAGTATAGTAGATATTCTGGGCTCTGAAAATAAGTAGGGTCAGCATCTGAATATCTGAATCTGAATTTCTCTGTCTTCCCTTTTTCTTCTCCATTTGGAATTTTATTTTCCAGCTCAGATCACATGCACTAGAAGCCAAAGAAATCTCTTTTTTCAGGTTAATATTTTCATCCTAGTCCTGGTTCATATGCATGTAGGCTTTGGGCTCCTCTGCTCTGTGCCCGTTTGTCACTCTTTTCAAAGGCAAGAAGGAAACTCTTGGTATGGGTGCAGAACTTAGAAGAGATCTGTGCCGAATAAGAGCGAGAACGCAGCTGCACAAGACTCAGCACACTTCTGACAGACAAAGTGCAGTGAAGGAAAAGATGACACTTTAAGCTAAATGAGAGATCGTTATACAACGCTCTTTCCATTCAGCTCGTTCTAGGGGGAATATATACATGTGGCAGCAGCAGCACTCAGGACATGAAGAGCTACTTTGAAAGTTGATGCATTTCCCAGCGTTGGACATGAAGATGGAAAGTAGAGAGTGAGAAAATTGGCTGTCCCTGCTGAGGTGCCCCCCAGCCACAATAATATTTATGAAACCGTCATACTTCTCTATCCTTGACAAGAAAGCTGCCTGGACTGGTTCAGAGCAAATGCAGTTTGTAGGAAGCATTTCAGATTGATGTTCTTCCCTGGTGACGGAGTGTTCCAGGGGCCTGGCAGAGCGAGCTGGCAGCGTGAACAGCTCAAGCTACAGCAAGGGGACCCAATCAGAACTACACAAACTTGTCCATATTCCCTTGTGCTGTGCTGAATTGGGAAGGCAGGCAAGGGAGAGCTGAAAACCTTAAGGCAAAGGACTGCTCTGTGCGCTGCCTGGCCGCACAAACAGGTGTACGTACACAGAGTGGTGAATGGGAGCTCATGCAGGGTTCGTGCTCCACTGGGAGAGCTAACTGGGCTGGGAAAGCGAGCTTTACCCTTTCAAACAGACCAAGGTAAATAACAGTTGAGAGTGTTACACAGGCATCTGGGTTCTTTACACTCAGCCTCATGTTCTCAGTGTTTTGCTCGCTGCACTGCCTTGTGAAATCAGCAGTAAAAGCCTGTGACCAGAGGAAAAGTGGTAAGCCAGTGGTAGCACTAGTGGTAGCGCTGATTAAAACAGCAGCACGCAAACACACTGACCTCTTCCTGAGTGGTAACCTTCAGTGAGAGCTAATTCACTGGATTGATTTTATTCAGCTTGTCCATGAGAAAATAGAGCACAGCGGCATTGACTGCAACTGGCCAAAAGTGCTTGTGAGCTTCAGGGATCTTTATAGTGCTTGTTTCAGCTTCCAGGTTGGTGATGTTATGATGTACTATTACACTCTAAGTCTTCTGTTTGGCAAAAATGTACTGGCAAAAGAATATAAATGAATCTAAAAATTTATTGGTAGTCCAGTTAATGTTTTTAACAATCTAATAGTCAAAATTACTTAATATATAGGAGTATAGGAAGACTGCATTAAAAATAGAGTTGCTACACTAAAAATTCCCTCTTGCCTGGTGTTGCACTTACTCCCCCAGTTCTCCTTTGGATTTTAATATTGGTATTCCTCAAAAGAAATGGGGGAATATTATGATGAATTATCACCAGGATTTGTGTGATACTCATGGGAGAAAGAGTTCTTTCTTCTGAGCCTGGTGTCTGCTCAGATTTAGTTTTATGTTTTCTTAACACTATAATCTAACTATGATTAAATGGTGATTTGTGTCAAATGTGTCTGCACTCTTCCCCACAGCTGACTCCAGAATTGTAGGCAGTTCAGTTCACAATGAATAACCATTTGTTATTATCCTAAACTAGAGTTAAACTGAAACAAATCTAGTCAAGAGTGCCTCACAGCTGGACAATTGCTATCACAGCTAAACCATGTTAAAATCTATCTAGGCCCAGAAAAAGCCAGAGCATTGCTGGGTCCCTACACTGTCACCTCAATACAAACCCTGTTGCTTTTTACCAATACTGGCAAAATCACATTTATTGGGCTATAAAATCACTTTGAATAGTCTGTGATATGCAGAGCAAGGATTTGCAAACCTGCTATGACTGCAGAGTCATGAATGAGCAGCAGATCTTGGAAACATTCACACTTTCCTAACTTCTCTTGAATTAGAGTAATTCAAAGTCTGATTGACTTGTAATTCTTCATTGCCATCAGGAAGCCAGCTAACACAAAGTATTTGATTTTCATTGCCAATATAATTTTCCCAATCAGCAGGAATACTGTGATTATTAAACTGAGAGCTATAGTTTGTAGTGCTAAGTAAAAAATTCCTGTAGCTGCAGGAGACCATAGTGTAACCTGATAAAGGTATAGGATAATTAAGAAACATGCATGAATCTAAGATACAGCAGACATACAGACACACAGGCACTAGCAGGCAGGTTTTACATGAGGTAGTTCACAACAATTTCTGAAGTTGTGTCTCTTTACACTCAGAGATACAAAAATACAAAACACTTTGTATTTTACATGTATGCAGTTTTCACCATGTACAAAATTTAAGGTGCTTTAAGCCACCTCCCATAAAATTGTACATAAATGGTACATTTATTTTGAAAATGTGATTTTGCAATGGCAAAAAAACACCCTGTTGATCCATCTTTTCTTTTATGTTTTAAAAGCACTCAGAGTTTCAGCTGTACTTGTAAATATATATCTTTTAATGTTACAAGAATAGATATTAATATCTGGGTGATCTGTTAAATGTCATTACTCTCCAGAAGAGGCCATACAGACCTTGTCATCTGGAGATGAGGGAGTCACAGCCTTCCAGGGATCTTCTGCCAATGTTTCACCACCTTCATGGTAAATGATTTTTCCTAATCCCTGGTCAGAATTTCTCTTGGTCTGACTTCTGCAGGTTGCCTCTTTTCTGTCCATATCCACATCTAAGAAAAACCTGTCTCTGTCTTCTTTGTAGCCTCTTGTGAAGCATTTCCAGACAGCTGGAGATCCCCCTGCCCTCTTGGCCTGAAGAACCACAGTGCCCTCAGCCTCTCCTTCACTTGTTTCCTGCTATAGCCTCCACTGGAGTGGGTTAATGTCTTTCTTGTACTGTAGGAGATGCAGTAATTAAATTTGAATTTTTCATTTATAACATCTATTTTTTGTTCATACACTTACTGGTAGTGTAACACTCTTAACACCTCCTATAGCTGTATCTTCTTTTTGAGTTTTGTCCTGTTTGGTGTAGTTGGATGTGCTTCTACTTCAGCTGTCAGTTTTGTTCTCTGAAGTCCAAATTTCTCCTTGCACTGCCAGTTCTTCGGTTACATCCCTTGCCACTGACTAGACAACCCATGTTTCAGCATCTTACAGGCTTTCCAAGTGAAAGTACTCTCCCATCCATCCCCCCACCCCTTTATTTCTTTTTTTCTTCCCTTTTCTACTTGAAAAATCTTGTTCTGCTTCCTGCAAGAAGCTGGAACCCAAGGGTGTGGTTCCCTCAACACACTGCCCATGGACCAACAAAGTTCAGGACAGAGAATACCTAGAGGAGGGGATCCAGGATTTTAAAATGGTAAGAGTATGAGAGCTCCTCTGAGTTTGACTCTGTAAAATTACTGACAGCACTTGGCTCTGCTGTGCTGCTGTATGGAATGCTTCTGAGTTTCACCTGCAGGTCACTGAGAACAGAGCATACTCAGGACTTAGCAGAAATTATTCCCCCTTTTGAAGGATCAAGCTCTTGAAGAACCCCCACTGTTAGAAATATGACCTCTTCAGGTACTTAAAATTACTTAATTAGCATTATAAACATTAGAAAGAACAAGATCATTCTAGCAAAGTGAATAGAGCTGTAATTGCAGGTGTTACAGAATTTAGTACAAAAGATGGGTGTTCCCAATATTTGTTTTAAAGTATTTTACAAGGCTATATAAAGAAGGAAGAAAGCAAGCTATCAGGTAGTGGGGGTTTTCCCCTCCATGTTTTTGTGAACTAAAATTAGAGGGAACACATAACAAGCATCTTGCTATTAAATTTGCCCATGACAAATAGTGCAGCTGCATGTAGTGTGCAGGAACATCTGTAGAATCATGACACATGCAGAATTCCCCCACACTGAGAGCGTGACACTATACTGAAAACAATTCAGTTGTAGAAGCAATATAAATATATTTTATATAATCTTTCTCCACCTTCTCCTCCCCCTTGTCTTTTGAATCATGTTAACTACAGGATTCTGTCACTTCTTCCCAGCATCAGTAAAAAGTATAAAAGTGACTAAGCATTTCAGAATTATGCTCTTCTTTCATTAGCAGCTAGGATGCAGACATTTCTTATCTGAAGAAACAAAAAAAGAAAGAATAACCAGTGGCAGAAATGCACTAGAAAGACACCATAGTTTACTCCAAATGGAACTTGACATGGTTTGAAGATGCAATTTAACTCTTGAGAAATCAAAGGATGATTTTCTATGTCAGCACCTCACGTGGTTGTTCAGTTCAAAGTGAGCTGTTGGATTGCTGCCAGTCTTTGCTTCACCCATGTAAGTGATGGCACAAAGTACTGTGATACATGATATCACAAAGTGCTATGGAATAATATGTCTAAAATCTACAGATTTCCAAAGTAAGGGGAATCTCCTTGCCTGGGATTTTGTGAGTTCCCACAGTTTATTGTCTGTATGTAGTGATGGTAGAACTTGCTCGATGACCCTTTAAGCTCCATATGGTCATAAAGAAGGACTTTCAAGGCTTTTTCAAAAGCCTTGAAAGCTTTTCCCAAAAATTATTTTAACAAAATATTTGCTTCCTTCTTATAAATATTCTATTGTTTGCTCTCTGAAATAGTTGTTCTGCAATCTTTAGATTTTAGAAGTAAGAAATTTTATAATTGCAATGCAAACAATGATTTTTGTAATGTCTGAGGTTGTCTAAATTTAGACTATGTGATGATAATACCATGAGAAGGCAAACACATGCATGTTATGAAGACTTGGATCATCATTAACTTGTTTCTTTGAAACATCTTACTTTCAGTCATTAGGACACATCAGAACTGATAACTGTGTGAAGCTCCAAGATAATTTCCAAAATTTTAATGCAGACTGCAAAGCAGGCATGAAGCCAAGACCCAGCTGTCTTGGTCATAATTTTCAGCTCCTTGCCTATTAAATTCCTGCAACCCAACTGCAATAACACTACCCTTATGACATATTCCTATTACGATTTTATTGATATGATACATTTTTATTTTACTTGCTGATACTCTTTGGTCAAGTTGTTTGAACTCTTGCTTCATGCATCACCTGAAAAAACTTTGTTTTCCTATTTCAGAGGAACATACTGTCCATAATATAGAAGGTTTTTAAAGCACTCTGATGACTGGAAAGGTATGCATGTGTAACAGATATTGCCTGATGACATTTGCTTACTTGTAAGGGTATATTTATCCCTTAATTAAATTAGATATGATTCTTCATTTAATAATACAGTGACTTTCAACATTCACGTCCTGGTTTGTGTGTCCAGTGACTGCTTGCACAAGATACACAGGCATGTGCATCAGCACAGCAGAAAGGAACAGCAAACATCCTGCAGAGCTGGAAAATGCCTTCATTAACTTTTCAGTATCCACAACTTTCTCATGGAGAGGTGCACATCCCATGGCCAGATGTATCTGCAGTCAGCTGTGGCCACCCCAAGCTGGAAATGAGTGTGTGAGCATCCTGCTCACTGACCCTTCCACTGCAGTGCCTGTGTTCTGGCTGGTCTCTTGGGTGAGTGCTTCAACAGCTCCTTGTAGTCCTGGGCTTTAGTTCTAATATAAACAGAGGCACAATTTTCAGCAAGTTAGCAGCATGAGGAGTTGTGGAAAAATGTACCAGGGAAAGCTTTGTTTATATCATATGTAAAATGGAGCTCTAGAATACCCCTCTTGCAGATTTTACTTGAAATAAATTAAAGACTTTTGTGGTAATTTTAAAAGGTTTATTTTGTTTTCCTCATGATGGAAATGCAGTGATTCTTGGAGGAAGAACATATACACATGGATATATTTACCATGGATAAATGAATTGAAAAATAAAGACTATTAGATAAATACAGTTAGTTTGGTTTAGACCCAAAGAAGCCAAATTCAGCATCAAAATGATTAATACTATAGCTGATCTAATTCTTTTACTTGTTTTTTCTTTGCTTGTATTTTTTGCTGCTGTGTCTTGTTTACAGCTTCTCAGCCAGAAGAATATCCTGCAGCAAATTACTGTCAGAAGCCAAAAAAAGTATCCATAATTCATCCTAACGCACTGTCAACTTAATTTTAAAATAATTTTTCTGCTTTATGAGTTCTGGCTGAAGTAGTAAGTTTGCAAATCCATAAATCAAATAAAGGAAATACATACCTCTGTTTAAAGATTCTGTTTTCCTACTTCATTGTAAGCGTAGTTTTTATTAATTAAAACTTCAGTCACTAGGAAGAGAAGAAAGAAACAAAAATGTGGACTGTATTCTTTACAACTGTACACATCTGTGTTGTGACTCCAGAGCCATCTCTTTGGACTATAGAGAAGTTTTTCAAGATTTATAAAGCAGAAATTAATTTAGGTTGTGTATTCCAGTGAGCACTCTGAGGAGCACGTGTGTGTGTGTGTGAATTAGGCCGAGCCTGTTGAGGCCTGTGAAGGGCACAGTGTGCGGTGAGGTGTCCTGCATTTGCAAGAGCCCTGTGCAGGTGTGCAGACACTCACAAAATGTCCTCAGTTTCCAAATGTTTCCAAACTGACCTCTCTCATCTCCAATAACAGTGAAGCTGATTCAAGTTCTTTAGCTGCAAGAGGCACGTTAGAGAGCAGGTGTGGAAGCTTTCTGTGAATCTTCTGAGAATCACTGAAAATTGGGTGAAACTTGTGTCCCCAAGTGCAGGAACAGCAGCCTGGCAGCAAGTGTGAGCATGGCCTTGTTTGTGCTCGTCTGCACACGGGGAAAGTCCTGCAGAATTCCCTGTCCCAGGAGTCAGTAGTGTCCCAGTGTGTGTTCCAGCTCAGAGCTGCCACCAGCAGCTACTGAATAGCACCACGTTCTGAATCTCAACACACCATGAAAATCCTCCTTTAATCAAATGCTCCCAGGGGAGCAAGAAATTCAAGATGCACTTGCAGCCTGGGCTGGTGCACACCACTAGATCAATACTTGGCATAAAGAGCTTTCTGCTTGTCTCTGCAGTGGAGGGGGGCCAGGGACACTCTTAGCAAGCAAAACCAACAGGCAGCACATGAGGTAACATGAGGGCAGCAAGGAAGAGGCAAAGGTACAGGACTGAGTGGGGCACTGTGCTGGCTGGATTAGAAAGAATTTTGCTTCTCAGCTTGAGATGTTTAATTAAGGAATTTCATCGTAATTTTGACTAAGCTTAACAAGTAACAAATTCAGTGCTCTGGCTCACTAAATTCTTTCTTGCAGTCTAAATAAGCTGCAGATCTGGAAGAATTCAGTGGCTTAACAGCACTTTCTCTCCAGCTTGCACTGTAGGTAAGTGCTGTCCTGTGGCAACCTTTTAGGGTCAAGTGATTTAGAGAGCTTAGACAAGGCTGGGGTTCAGGATCCCTATATTCAGACATGATCCTGAGTAGCAGAGGCTGTGAGGAAATATTTTCTGACATTTACTAGAGGGGCAGGGGAGGGAAGGGAGGACTCAGCTCTAGGAAAGAGAGTAGGTACAGCTAACCTAGAAGGAGGGGAAGGACTCAAGAATATAATGAGGAGGTGGGGGAAATGACACTGGAATAAAAGGGTGAGTATGTGAGATACACACTCATCCTGGCCTTCCTCTGTTCAAAGCACTCCCTCCAAGGGTGGGTATAAGACTTGAATAGAGGGGATGGATGTCAAAGTATTTCCATAAGGAATATAGTGCAATAAATCAGAGAAAAAGGGCAGAATGGAGGCAAGGAGCAAATGGTAGGAGAATTATTTTAGTTCTAAGTGAATGATTATGTCTCCTGAGTGATTACACATCAGGATGGTGGTGTGTTGGAGAAGATTGTTCAGCTAGATAGGAAGGAGTGCTCAAATTGCAGTCATTGAACTGTAGTTCATGCAAGGGTGCAAATAAGATAAGAAAAATAGACAAGTAAAAATCCAGCTGGAGTGAACGTGTTTTGGGCACTGCAATCCTTGTGAGTTAATGTAACTATCATACAGGTGCAGGAAGAGTTTTCAGAGGAAGCTATTTGGAATACTTGTGGAACATAATCAGAGAGAGACCTGATGAAGGAAATAACAGACTATTAAAAATACTCTGAACATAACTTGCAAGTAATGGGTTAAGTACAAGATGAATAATTTCTTCCAAGTTTCTGCTAGAACAGGATCACCCGCAAGAAATATCTGCAGTATGACACAGCTATGGAGTCACCGCAGTACAGGGCTGGTGAAAAACAAGAGATACAATATCCCATTCATTATACTGCCATGAGTGGAAAGTAGGAAAGGGCTTGAGCAGAGTTGATATGGGCATTATACCTTGGGCAATATCAGGCATTCAGAAGAAAGAGAGCTGTCACATTTTCTTCATAGCTCTGCATCAGTTTTACTCTCACTAGCACTGGTCACTTTTTGATTAAAATAGATAATTTATAAATTGAAACAGATGTGACTCTTATCCAGTTTTTCCCCAGTGCTGAGGTTTGATCTTATGCCAGTGATGACTGTAAACATAAGACCAAGGACTTCTCATGTGGCCATATTTTTGCCAGGCACTGCTGTCACTTTTCTATTTAGCAATTGTTGTAGCATCCCCCCACTCAGTGGCTGGATCAAGACCTTTTGTTCCTGTAATAGGGACCTGGAATAATAAAGGTTAAGTTTTAAATTTCTACTTACAGAAGCTAGTATGTCTCAGAATTCACTCACTTGTGTTTTTGTAAAAAAAAGCAGCATCACTGGGAAAAATTTATTTATCCTTATTTCATCCAAAATTCAAGAGATAAAAAAAGATGAAGATTCCTGCACTGAATCCAACAGTCCTTCTTTGGTCTCCAGTAGGTTACTGGGAACTTAGTAATGGGGAAGTTCTGAACTCATCTTTGCTCCATGTGGAGCAAAGTCAGCCATTACTATTGCCAGTTATTCTTTCAGATGTTTTAAATTACAGTTCTATTGCTTTATTTATGCATGTATTTTATCTCCATGTGTTTCATGAGAATGTGGAGCTGCATGTCACAGTACCTTTTTTCCATGGGTTAAAGGAAACTGTTCTAACACTCCCAGCTTGTGCTGGCCAGGTACCTTCTGCTGAAGCAATCCTTTGTTACCATGGAGGGTCAGTCACACAGTGCTGGTCAGATTATGTGCTGCCTGTTATGTCCACAAGTATATGGAATATAGCAAGGAAAAGAGAATAACAAAGCTTTAGTGGTTTGCTGTCCCTGATGCGTATTAAGTTGGAAGAAACTGCAAAACCCCTGAGTTATTTTCCTCAGCAGTCCAGAGTTCAGGGAGACCCAGAGCACAGGAACAGTTGCTGCCACTGCACACCATTCCCCCCTTCCGCAGACTGGCTTTCTGGCCAAAGTTAATGATTCATAAGATTCTGCACTGATTTCACTGTGAGCTTCCATATTTGCATAAGTAAAAGCTTCTGCAGCTTCTGTAAGGAGATTCTTAGTGAAATTGCAGCACAAAACATTGATATTATGTAATTATGGTAGTTCATTTTAACTTAAATGAAATTGTTACTTTAAACTTGCTCTAAGTGGCTCACAATGTAATTTTTGTATGACACACCTAGAAAACAAATGAGTTAATCACAATATGTGTCATTTTTAATTTTTCTCTTTCATTTTTCTTTCAGTCATTCTCTCTTTGTAATTAGCATGAAGACTACCCTTCAGTCAAAATTAGCCACCTGGAAAGTTTCAGCTTGTAATATGCAGCTTTTTTTGTGAATTATGAATGTGCAAAAAAGAGACCTTTCTCCTTACACCCACTTCCTTGCATAATTCAAAATATGAATGAATGAATTTTATTCAGGCTTGCCAAAAAAATTATATTTCAGCTGATAACAAGCATGAAAAATTTTAGATGAAAGGGATTAGAAAAAAAAAAAAAAGAATATTCTGAGCATGGGAGAACAGCAGGTTAAGACAGAAGTCTGTAACTATAACAATTGCTATCAAGCAAATACCATATCCAAGCACTAAATCTTGCTTTGTGCTGCCCTAGTGCACAGTAGCAGGGACAGAGTAGAATAATAAAAGCTGATCCCCTTATGCAAACAGCAGGGCAGAGCACTTGAGAGAATACAAGGAGAAGGTGAGCCTGCCTGCTCTTCTGGCTTGCTAACCATATTCCCAAGGTCTGTGGGTTAGTTGTCTAGCTCCAGTCAGATAGCAAAAGGTACTTCAAACACTAGCAAAGGGAATGTTTTGGTCCTTTCCAGAAGAACATTTTACTAATTCCTTGCCTCCAAATGTACTGTTCTATTAAATAAAGTATTTGAAGGAATTCATATAAGCAACAACATGGTTTAATGGGTCAAAAAGGGAACAGAATCAGTGCCAGGAATTTTTGAGATTGTGTATTTTAAGAATATATATCTGTGAAGAAGGTATTATCTGTGCAAAGCAGAATGAGATTTGGGCTCATGCCAGTACCACTTTGAAAATAAACTATCACAGTGAAGAAATGTTACCATCTGGAACATTTCTGCATCATATTTTCTCTTGTTCCCAATAATGCCTTGGTGATAAGTCCAGCTCTCCTTTTCTACTCAGAAAACAGGATGAAAACTCCCATTCATTTACTATGTGTTTGTTAGAAAAAATGCCCATTACAGTGGCTAAACAGCAGTGAATACTAAAGTATTACCTTGCAGATTCACAGATCCACATTGATTAGAGGATCAACAGACAGGATTTGCAAATAGCAAGCCTGGGCATAGAAATCCCCTTCCAGTCTGATGTGAGTTGACTGTTGCAAGTTGAGCTTGGCAGCAAGTGACCAAAATTGAGTTGTCAGCCTCCTCCTGCATAGTGGAAGAAGTTGTTGCTTTCTTGTGCAGATGCAAGGGTTTCTGTGGGAAAACAGAACATAGTCATGGTTCTGAATGTCTCTGTGGATTGGTAATGTCTCTAATACATAGATCACTTGTGCAAATTCAGTCCCAGCTGGATGGGAAATTATTGAAAATGGTTGTTGTTTGATTGATATAAAATGAGTTGTCAGCTTGATTCAATGCCTTCAGGGCAGATGTCCACAGCATAATTGGCACCTGTCAGAAGCAAAGAATTCCTTGGTACAGAGTAACAGCTACTCATGCAACCACCCAGAACAGTCCTTGCATGCCAGGGCTCAGAGAAGAAGGCAGAAAAAAAATACTTCTGGGCAGGATCTTTTATGCCATAAAGTCAATAAGAGTTTTGATGTGACACTTGGTGCAAGCTTTTCCCTGGGATACTGGCTACACACGATCAGCTTTTCTGCTGTTTGGTCAACACTTTCCCTAAGAATTAAACTCACATATTTGGTTACTTGTTATTATTGTCGTGGTGAAGGTGGGTTTATAAAGACCACTTAATAAAGAAATGTTTACATGTTTGCTTATTATAAAAAAATGCTGTGAATAATTTTATTTTTCTATTTCTTGAGAAATTCTCCTCACAACAATACAACTAAAGAAATAAGAGAGTGTCCTCTCAGCAAAAAATAAGGCAGAGAAACAGCCAGGAGTGACAGTACAGCAGTGTCAGTATTACACTGCTACTAGTAAAGAGTGACCTATTGTTTACCACAGAGTAGATTACAACGGATTTTTTTTTCTATAAGTCACTAAGTAGCTGTCATATGGTTATTACTGCCTTTGACCAAGTGTGGTACAGCTAACAACAGAAATGAATTCTATTTCCCATCACCAATACGTCGACCTGGCCACCTTCTTCCTGGAGCTGGTGCTTGGGAGGTACTAGCTGAAGGACTTTCCATTAAAACTCATTTTACTGTCTTCATCTAGCGCATGGCTCAACTTTCCTTCTCTCCTTTCATCTCTGTTTCCTCCTTTGGATTATTTTTCATTATGCCTCCCCCCCCAGCATACCCACACTTTGCCTTTCATCTCTCTGTGTATGCTATTCCAGCACTTGTCAGGCCCAGCAGGAGGCACATGGGAGAACCAAACAATATGATATGTTAGGTGGAAGAAAATATTAGAACAATCATTTATTGTCACACTTTAAAGAGTTCTGCTATGTTATTTATTTTATTATTCTGTATTAGGTACATGGTTTAGTTTTACAGGCATTATTAATCACTAAAATACATTACACTTTCAGCCAGGACGTTAACATTTTAAATGCATTCATCTTGCTTCTTTAAACAGAAACAATGGGTCTTCTGCACTGCCCTCCCTCCCCTTTAGTCAATAAATCCTTTCTATTGATTCAGGAAATAACTCTTAAACCCTGTTTTATATTTTAAGTTCCACTAGCTACACTCAGCCATATAATTTTGCTCAATAACAAATGGATCTTCTATTTTTGCTGTTTACTATGTGTTTGGTTATCAAACTCAGCTTGAAAATATTGGGTAGAAGAGGACAAAAACTGTAATGGCAGTGAGCCACCACGAGAGATTTCCTAAATGAATGTTGCAATAAAATAAAGTATCTGTAAAAAGTGTATGTGTGTGTGTATAAAAAACAGTCTCATCAGTAAATGAATGATAAATGAAAAAATCCATCAGTGAGTATGGATTCCCTTGAGCCAGCCTACATCAACAGACAATATGGATTTTTGATAATTCATGGCTTTGCTGTTATTTATTCTCTCCTGAAATACCCATTGCAAATCTCAGAAACATAATTAGACAATTATCATATTGCTTAACTAAGTAGTGCAAATTGTGTTAGATTTCTATGTATCCCAGTCCTGGGAAGAATCATTAGTGTTGTTTAATTGTTACAAATATAGTCATCGCATTTTAATAAATTGCCTTCATTGTCAATATCCACAATTGACTACTTCCCTTAATGTTGGTGGATAGGTTAGTTACCAGGTAATCTTACAGTTAAGATACACCACAATGAAGCAAAAATGTAAGAAAATGCAAAGGTCAAAACCATGTTTCTACTATGAAAAAAATGAATGATAATGACATAATTTTTTCAGCTCATCAGGTTCTTTGCTAAGTGCCTCTGTTATTGCCAGATCAGTAGTGTATAACAAAGAAGTGCTTTCTGTAGGCTGCTTCATTAGCCTGCCCTGTAGGACCTCACCTCAGACCTTTCACTAATCTGTTGGCCAGCTCAATAGCCTTGTTAGTTCTATTCACTTCTTCCTGGCAGCGGATTTTCTCAGCTGTAGCTCTCTCAAAGGCAGTGGTTAAGGCAGCCAGGATTGTGTCTAGTTCCTTCAAATAAAAACAGTAACAAACAACTTCGGACATTGTAAGAACACATAAAAATATTTCTGCTATCCCATTTTATATTGCTGAAAGTTAAATTACACAGTGCAAGAAAGGTGTAAACATTTAACTGCGCTCAGAATTTTGTTTAGGTTGCAGTCCAAAGGTGGATTCAGGAAAACCTGGGGAAATGTGAGGCTGGTCTTCTGGTTTCCCCTAGATGTTCAAGATCTTACACCACTAAAAAAGGAATATCCCCTTCTCCCCAAGGATTCTGAAATGAATCCTAATATATTTCTTATTACAGCTGTATATCTTCTATAGCAGATCCCAAACTTGAAAGGACAGCTGTTTGGAAACTAAAGAAAACAGAAGGGTTTAAAGATGATAGACAAAATACTTGAAAATGCACAAGTAGTGCCCTTTGCTGACTTTTTCAGTTCAATTATGCTTCTCAGTGCACACACTGTTTCTGAAAACAGCCTGAAATCCCCAACCACCTTAGATTTGGGAGCAAGCAGCTCAGTGCCTGGTACATCAAAACATTTGAGCACACAAACAGTCCCACTAGGTCAAAGCCTTGGTTATTCCCAGAGGGAGGAGTGGAAGATAATTCAGCATGGATGGCTGAACATGGAGACGAGGCAAGAACGGCGTGCAATTCCAGAGAGTCAGGGCAGAGCACCCGAATGACTCTGAGTGCAGAGGATGAACTGCCTGGGGAGCTGATAAAGGCGAGGTCAGAAGGGTGCTGCAAGGCCCCAGCAGAGCAAGGCACTCCAGAACTGCTCTCACTGGGTGCCCATGAACAGAGCCAGGGGCTGGGGCAGCCAGAGAAATGATTCTCTCCACCAGCAAATATGTATTCCCTTCAGCCTGGCAAAGGTGTCCATGCAGCTCTACTGAATTTCATAATATTCCCCAGGGAAAGTCAGAGCTGAGCACAGCTTCTGGCAGAGGGCTGTACTTTGTCCCAGCTGTGCTGCTGACAAGCTCTGTGCGCCTTGGGCAAGGCCAAGGGGCACCCCAGGAATCTCCCTTGAGAAATGCTGAGTGGGTGCCTCAAGTCCTCCTACCTTGAGGACACCGTGAGGTGGAACCTGTGTGTATAACAGGACATTAAAAGGAGCTGTGTGATGGGACAGATGGCTGTTTTATTGGGAAGGCTTGGAGAAATTTGGAGTAAATTACAGCACAAACATTTTTAAATGGTGCCCAAAGATAGCCTTTAAAGAAGGGCCCAGCAGTTTTGCAGCAGCCACGCAGCCCAGAAGGGCTCTGGAGCGGGCAGAGTGAGGACAGGTTACCCCTGCTGCTGTGTGAGGGGAGCATGGGCAGCACCTGTGCTGGAAATGTGTCCTGCTGGCCAGGCCTGCTGACTGACTCCTGCCTCTCCTTCCTGCACAAGGAAGATCCAGGCACAGACTGAAAACTCACCATGCATGAAGAAAAGCACCTGCTGTGGTTCCAAGGCACATTGTGGGGCTGCAGAGGCTGGGGATGTGATCCCATCATTTACCTGAAACTCAGAAATGTTACTGAGTGATGAATTACACCAACAAATACCTTTGCCAGTATTACAATGAATCATGTGGGGAATACCTCTGACAGAGGAGGGTATTACCAGTAATTGAATTTCAGAGGCTTCTAAAATGTCCAAAAAAGTATTTTTTGGTATATCTAGTTGTCCTGACTCTAAAGTTCATGTCTTTGAGGCAATTATGACTCCAGCTTTCCCTAAGATTTCTGTCTTCCACTGCAATACACTCCTACAAATCTTGATGCTTGGTATGTATATATATTGCCTAAACAGAAATTAAGGTTGTCAGATGGATAGCAATAGGTCTCTCTTCAGGTGAGATCAAGGACTAGCACTTAGGCACTAAAGCTAAGGGAATGCAGAGAGAAAAAAAGTGGGAAAGCTATCTGCTGTTCTGAGCATGGATGCTGCAATGCTCATGGTGGGGTGCAGAACTTGCTTAAAAAATTTTCAGAGGTCAGGTTCAGGAATTGGGAAGGATTTTTTACTGCAGTTTTGGCTCTGCTGAGCCAGGCTGAAACACATTGTGTGCTTCTCTGCCCATTTAGTGTTTGGCAAACCTTCCTCTAAAAGAAAAAAAAAATAAAAGGAAGTATTGGAAGCAAAAATTAAAGCTGAAGATAGACATAAAAAAACACATTTGTGTATATATATGTGTGTGTGTGTGTGTGTGAAGAGGTATGTATATGTTTATGGTTGAACAATACAAGAACAATTGCAGTTCATGAAGGTCAAACCCAGGACTTGTGAAAGGTGCCAGAGGCAGTGAAAGTGCTGGCAGGAGCCATATGGGGAACTGGAAGTTGCCAACTCCTCCATGTATTTTTTTTAAGCTTTTATCATATGAAACACTGTGTGCCAGGAAAAGTATGTAGCAGCTTACTGTTGGGTACCAGGTCTTCCCTCTCATCGTTTTCTACCTCATTGCAATACCCCTTCTCAGTACCTTGACTCTGCTGGCAAGATATCTCTGAGGTGGAACTGATTTGGGCAAGGACAGAGAGGCCAAACTGCAGGTGAATGCTGGAGCTGCAGAGAATGACTTCCTATCCAAATGGAAGCCCAGAACAGTCAGGCCCTTAATGTGTTACAATTCGTTTGACTATCCATATTTTTGACTTTCTGTAAATAATGTGCTAAATGGATAAAAGAATATACCATTTTTCCTTCTTTCCTCTGAGTTACTGATAACAAGACAAGTTCCTTCCCTTACAGTTTGTGCATATAAATGTGATTAATGTAAAAAAAAAAAAGTGCCAAAATCTCTTTATCTTTCTCTCTCTCTTTTTTTTTAAAGCATTGCCCTTTTCAAAACAAGGGGAAATTCAGTATAGTTTCAGTGCCACAGTGATCAAACAGTGTCACATCACTATGGCAATTGCTGCCCAGGCCAGGAATACAGATCAGCTTTAATTGTGCAACGCCTTATTGCTGGTGCATGTCAATCAGAACCTATGAATTGAGAAAAATTTGCTCTGTTCATTCTGTTAAATGATGTATCCAATTAAACCTGTTAGAATTCATGATCTTCAGTCAAGGTTAAATGAAAGTAGTTACTCCTGTCAGCTAGGTGATTAAATGCTGCCTACATCAGGCACATTTATGTGCAAAATTAAAATTTTGGTATAAAGCATGAATCTTTATGCATGCCAGTTAATTATCTTGCGGCTCCTCCATTTATTAAATGCCCACTGCATTTCTTCTTAATCATCAGCTTCCTTTCAAAACTTATTTCAGACACTACATTATACCAAATTTCAATGTTTAAAATGA